GTTGCTTTGGTATTGATTCGAAAAGAAAAGAGAGAGAGAATGATCCCTCTGTTACATTAACGGTAGATAACGGTAATAGCGTCCCATTATCGGCACTATTTACCGTTACCCGTTAGAATGCGAACGCGATCGACTGATTTTGGCGTGAATCCGTTGCCCACCATTATTTTCCCGAATTTCGGTTTCGGACGGTGGCGCTATCGTGAAATAGAGGACGCTATTGCATTTTCATCCCACTATTTTAAACCATGGTCTCAACGTTAAAAAAATAATTGTGATGTTGATGTGTTACTATAAGGTAATGTCAGATTTAGGGATGATAGTTTTATACGAAATTGATGGGTTTCGACTCGATCTAATCGACAGGGTCAGTTTTTTTAAAATATAGGGTTCGAGTCGGGTTTGGGTTGGGTACGAGTAGAGAGTAAACAACCTCCGACCCGACTCTACTCAGGGTAATAGAATAATTTTTCATGTAAATTTATGAATAATTACTATAATACCCTCTATATATAATTTTTTTAATCAGGTCCTTAATTTATGTTGGGTCGGGTCAGATTTATAGTCCAAAAAATCGTGTTTGGTCGACCTCAGGTGGCGGGTATATATTTTTCATGTCAGGTCAGGTGGAATGTATATATTTTTCAAATCAAGTCAAGTTCGGGTGGAGGATATATATTTTCTGGTTGAGTCGGGTTGGTAAAAAATCTGACTAGTTTTCATATCTAGTCATATCATCATTGAAAAAAATAAAAATCTGTTGGGATTTTTGAAAGCTTGAATCGATAACCGAAATTGCTTGCAAAGAGGGTCGGGATCTGTTTTTGTGTTTAGGGAGTAAGGAGATTAAAAGATAGAGAATTGCACAGCGATTTAGAGTAGTTCAACTTCTCAACCAAGTCTACATCCACTACCTTAGCTCCTCACCAAGGATTTTCGAACAAATTCACTAATTTGTTCTTTCTTTTGAGGACAAAGAGATAACCTTACAACTCCCTAGTTTTTACGGGCTAAACTAGAACCTTTCCCTAGCTTTTACACGGGATAAGCTAGAACCTTTCCCCTTTACAAAAGGATAAAATAAGTAAACAAGAAAACCTCTCTAAGGTAGGTGTTTACAAGATTGAGCTCACAAGAACAAAATATTTACAAGAGAAAGATGAAATAAGAATGAAAAACTCTTCTCTTATGTTTGATTGCTTGGATAGTTGTTCTCTTACTTCTTCAAGTATCCTTAGCTTGTATTTATAGCTTGGAATGTGTTTGATGTTGTATATAGCCGTTGGGGATGTTTTGGAGCCGTTTGGGGATGATTTTTCTACTCTAAAAGGCTGCCCATAATATGGTGCATCGGTGCACTATCATGGTGCATCGATACCCCTCCATTAAATTCAAATAAACTAGTCGTTACTAGCCGTTGCAGCCTTCGTGCGTGGATGCACAGGAGGATGCATCGATGCACAACCTTGATGCATCAATGCACATAAGTATGCATCGATGCACTAATTGCATTCTGTGTTTGAGTGCATGGATGCACTGCATGGTGCATCGATGCACTAGTGCAGGTGCATGGATGCACTGCAGGGTGCATGGATGCACTTTGACACCCTTTAGCATTTTGGCTCAAATTCGAATTTAATGGACTTTGAATTATTTTTTAAACCTTTTAAAACTTTGAATAAATTCAATTAAGTTCAAAAATATTTTGTAAATTCAATTCAAGTCCAAAACCATTTTGCCTTAGATTGTTATATCAAAACATAGTTCAACAATCTCCCCCTTTTTGATATAACAAAATATTTGAAAAATTGTTTTTGGCAAAACTCCCCCTTAATAAATTGTTTAATGAAAAAGATATTAATTGTTAACAATTGTTGGAAAATATATTAAAATGTTAAGCTCCCCCTTTTTCATTTAGAAATTGAATTTTTCAAACCAAACTTCTCCCCCTTTTTGTTATATCAAACATAATTCGATCTTTGAAGTTCAAAATAACTTTGGAGAGTAAGTGGTAAATTTGACATTTAAAAATCATTTGAAAAATCAAAGCTCCCCCTCAATAAATGCATTCCAATCAAAATTTAGCTTTAAGAACTTGACACTTATAAAGAAATTGAATTTCTACAAAGAATAACAAATGTGTTAGTAACACATGAAATTCAATATATCAAAGACTAAAATACTTTATGCAATACCAATTGTTGAAATTTGATATCAATACCATTTGTTAAAATTAAGTGCATATGCATAAAGTTTTCCAAAAATGTTATGCATTTTGAAAATTTTGATATCAATTGATAGAGAGATATCATTTTCATTTAAACCACATGCATAAACATTCAAATTTAGGTCAAAAATTTAAAATTTGTAAAATAAAAGTATTTGAAAATTTGATATCAATTGTTAGAGAGATATCATTTGCATTAAAACCAATTTTGACCAAAATTTTATTATGATGAACTAAAAATTCTTAAAAATTAATATAAATTTAAAATGTTCATCATAATCATCTTTTCAACATACATGAGATTAAAACGATGATGCATAATCATTTAAAACCAAAACTCATGCATGCTTAAAATCAAATGAGCAACCAAATAACAAAAATTAAAAACATTAAGCTTAGAGGTTACCCATTCTTTTTTCATGTGTGGCTAGAGCATCTTGAATATCATCACTTTCATCACCATTGCTCCTACACACCTACAAGAGACATTTATTTTGATTTTGGTATCCAAATTGCTTTGGATCCTTGGATATTAGGTTCAATTCCCCTTGTTCCTTTTGGAATCCATACTTGTCTAATTTTAAAACGATTTCCTTTCTTCAAAGGACAAATATGTTCCTTATGACCATGATAATGACAATGTGAGCATATTGTCATTATTGAACTAAATGAATTATTTAAAATGATTTCTTTTTCTTTTGTTAAGCATTCAAGCTTAACTTTTAAATCAATATTTTCTTTTCTAAAACTTTCAATTTTTATTTTTGAAAGCTCTAAATCCTTTTTCAAAATTTCATTTTGGCTTTTAAAAGAAAATCATTTTCGATTTTAAATTTTGAAATCATTTCTTATATTTGGAGTTCATGGTCTCAAACTCCTAATATAACCTATTAAAAGCATCTTGTAACTCATCAAACATATATGAATTAAATTCATTTGAGTTAGAAGATACCTCGGGCTCTTCACGAGCCATTAGAGACACCACCTTTGTTGGTTCTTCTTTCTTGTTTCCATGGATTTCCTCGAGCTTATTCCAAAGCTCCTTGGCACTTGAACATGAAGAAACCCCTTCATAGATTTCATGACCAAATGAACAAAACAGCATGTGCATGGCCTTGGCATTAAGTTGAGCTTCATGACCAATGCACAAAACAGCATGTGCATGGCCTTGGCATTAAGTTGAGCTTTCTTCCGTTCTTTGTCACTCATCTTCTTCTCCTTCTTCTTTGGAGAAGAGTAACCGTTCTCGATTATCTCCCATGCATCAAGATCATTGGATTGGATGAATACCTTCATTAATTTCTTCCAATGATGATAGTTGACTCCATTGAAGTATGAAGATTTGTCGGTTGGTAGGGAATCTTTCATGTGGAACGAGTCGGAGGTGGAAGCCATCTTCTCGGTTGTGTCGGGAATTGGTAGAGCTTCTTCGAGGATCGTCTCAAGGTGGTTAAACCTTCTTAATGAGTTAGGCTCTGATACCAATTGTTGGGATTTTCGGAAGCTCGAATCGATAACCGGAATTGCTTGTAAAGAGGGTCGGGATCGGTTTTTGTGTTTAGGGAGTAAGGAGATTAAAAGATAGAGAATTGCACAGCGATTTAGAGTGGTTCAACTTCTCAACCAAGTCTACATCCACTACCTTAGCTCCTCACCAAGGATTTTCCAACAAATTTACTAATTTGTTCTTTCTTTTGAGGACAAAGAGATAACCTTACAACTCCCTAGTTTTTTCGAGCTAAACTAGAACCTTTCCCTAGCTTTTACACAAGATAAGCTAGAACCTTTCCCCTTACAAAAGGATAAATAAGTAAACAAGAAAACCTCTCTAAGGTAGGTGTTTACAAGATTGAGCTCACAAGAATAAAATATTTACAAGAGAAAGATGAAATAAGAATGAAAAACTCTTCTCTTGTGTTTGATTGTTTGGATAGTTATTCTCTTACTTCTTCAAGTGTCCTTAGCTTGTATTTATAGCTTGGAATGTGTTTGATGTTGTATATAGCCGTTGGGGATGTTTTGGAGCCGTTTGGGGATGATTTTTCTACTCAAAAAGGCTGCCCATAACATGGTGCATCGGTGCACTATCATGGTGCATCGATACCCCTTCGTTAAATTCAAATAAACTAGTCGTTACTAGCCGTTGCAGCCTTCGTGCATGGATGCACAACAGGATGCATCGATGCACAGCCTTGATGCATCGATGCACTAATTGCATTCGGTGTTTGAGTGCATGGATACACTGCATGGTGCATCGATGCACTAGTGCAGGTGCATGGATGCACTGCAGGGGTGCATGGATGCACTGCAGGGGTGCATGGATGCACTTTGACACCCTTTAGCATTTTGGCTCAAATTCGAATTTAATGGACTTTGAATTATTTTTTAAACCTTTTAAAACTTTGAATAAATTCAATTAAGTCCAAAAACATTTTTGTAAATTCAATTCAAGTCCAAAACCATTTTGCCTTAAATTTTTATATCAAAACATAGTTCAACAAAAACATCACGTCAAAAGTTATATTAATATTTTAACGGCTTGTGATAAAAATAAAACTAAAAATATAATATTAATGATAATTTTAGAGAAACAATAGTTGGCGACTAAAACAAAATCAAAGTGATAGTTAAATGATTAAATACATAGTTTATCTTTAATTTAGTATACATAATTTATAAAATTAAAATATAACATAATAATAAATTTGATAAAATATTAATAATAGAAAATCATGAAAATATTTAAAAGTAAACTTACCCTATTATAAGAAAAGTAGGTGGAAAAAGATAGAAAGAAAGAACATGGAAGCTCTGTTGTGCAAGAGATTGGGCGATCCATCATCAGCCTCGGTGGCCGATCATTCAGAATCGCCCATTCAGATCATCAGAAACCATCCCCGTCCCTGAATTGGACTCTCCAACCGCAGTGAGAGTCAAGGTTAAAGCCACCAGCTTGAACTACGCCAATTACCTTCAGATATTGGGCAAGTACCAAGAGAAGCCTCCTCTCCCTTTCATTCCCGGCTCCGATTATGCCGGAACCGTCGAAGCTGTGGGCCCCTCCGTCACTAAGTTCAAGGTCGGCGACCCCGTCTGCTCCTTCGCTTCCTTAGGCTCCTACGCCTCCTTCATCGTCCAAGACCAATCGCTCTTGTCCGTGCCACACCGGCTTAAATTAAATTATTTAATACCACCCAGTCTCAAGGATTAATTAATTAATCAATGTTTCTGATTCATTAGGTTTGGGTTGCCCAAAGGGTGTGATCTGGTGGCAGCTGCTGCACTCCCTGTTGCCTTTGGGACCTCTCATGTAGCTCTTGTTCACAGGGCTAACTTGGCCTCCTCTCAGGCCTGCACTTGTCCCTTTTATTTACTCATCTACTGTTTCTAATTAATACTGGTAATTGTAAAGGAGATAAATAGTAATTATTACATACAGGTATTGCTAGTTCTTGGTGCCGCTGGAGGCGTTGGCGTTTCTGCTGTTCAAATTGGCAAGGTTTGTGGCGCAGTTGTCATTGCTGTGGCCAGGTGCTGCTTCTTTCTCTGAGCAATATCTTAGTGACTTTTGTATTCAACTATTAATTTCAAACAATTTCAGGGGAGTTGAAAAGGTGAAGTTTTTGAAGTCCTTGGGTGTTGATCACGTGGTAGACTTGACCAATCAAAATCTAATTGCCAGTGTGAAGGAATTCCTCAAGTCAAGGAACCTCAAAGGGGTTGATGTTCTCTATGATCCTGTTGGTGGCAAGCTTACTAAAGATGCTATGAAGCTCTTGAATTGGAGTGCACAAATTCTTGTCATTGGATTTGCCAGTGGTGAAATCCCTGTCATCCCTGCTAATATCGCTCTTGTTAAGGTACCTCCACCTTTTTTCTCTTTCTCTCCAAATTTCCTTGTGCTCACATTAGTTAGCTTTCCTTTCTGTCCCTGTTGGGTTATTATGAAGACTACCTCACTAAATACACCATCATACTTCATTTGTGGGTATTGGCAATGGCAAAGAACCAAGGAATAGTGTAGCCTGCTTTTATTTATGTACCTCATGTCCCCGATCCTGATATTGCTTTTTGAATGCATTGTTTTGTGATATTCATTCCTCGGAACCAAGATGGTTATGTTTGATATAAGATTAGATGTATCTGTAGAGTTTCACCTGTGTTTGCGGTTTCTTTTGTCAATATGTTCAGTTGAGGTTATAGAATACCATAAATAGACACTATGTTGCACTGATACGGGTGGGTACGAGAAATGAAAATTTCTAAAATTATAGGGTACAAGGTACCGTAGTGACTAGAATTCTTTGATAAAAGACGGTGATTGTAGTGGATGTAAACAAAATCTTCAGCACGACTTGGATTTAACTTGTTTCTCCTAAGTGAGTGGATGAAAGAATAAGTACCGCAATTTCTTTTATAACAAGAGGATGAAATAGGTTGTCCAAGCGCTTTGAAAGTCAAAGATTAGAGCAATAAAGTTTCGACACCAAAGGTAGTTTGACTACTTTTTGGGTCCGAAGAATACTTATTTGTAAGGGAAATTAAATCTTAATTAAAAAATAAAATCATATCCAAATTCATCTATATCCTTTTTTATTATAAAATCATATCCTAATTCATCTATATCCTTTTTTATTATTTAAATCTTAAAAATAATCATGGGTTCGCACGTGAAGATCAAATGTTGTCTCTGAAACGTCCCAAAAATTTCTTGACCTACTCAACTAATTTCAGTTGTACCCCTTAAACATGAGATGTCCCCGGTATTTGTGTGATTGGGAATTGGACCAATGGGTGGATTTGTTGTTTAAATTGAATAGCATAAACTTGACTGATTCAGTGGAAGATTTCCTATCTTGGTCTGCAAGTGGTGATGGATGTGCTGATTGGAGATCCTTCCCTCGCAGATAGTGTCTCTGTTCCTAAATCTAAGAGCTATCTTGTGCTTTGCTGGCTACCCCCTCTACGAGATTTTCTTAAGATGAATGTTGATGGAGCTATAAGGTTTGATGGGTTAGTCGAAGGTATAGGTGGTATTTTAAGATATTGGAATTCTTGCACTCTAATGACTTTTTCGGAAAGTATTGGTCAAGGGCCCCCTCCAGTTGCTGAATTAAGAGCTATTAAAAGAGACATTGAAATTTTTCTTTCTTCAGTGTGGGTTTCTGTTGGTAGGTTGATTGTTGAAAGTGATTGTAAGTCGGCAGTGGAGTGGATTCAGTCTCCGTCTTCGGCTCCTGTCTTCTTTAACTCTCTAGTTAAGGAGATTTTGTCTCTTTTTTCTGATAAGGTGTCTTTAGTTAGGTGGATTCCAAGGGCTTGTAATTGTGAGGCAGATAGTTTAGAAAAGGAAGGGATTGGGTGAATGTAAGGTTTTGGTTTTAGGCTGTTTTATTTGTTTTTGTAGTTTCTGTTTTCTTGTGTAATTGTTAAGTCTTATGTAATGCTGTTATATTAATAAATTAAGGCACTCTTTTCCTCCTTCCGCTGGTTGGTTCTTTCTTTCGGGAAAGGAACCACTATGAGGGAGGTTTTTAATGAGGCCGCCAATTTCTATAAAATAAATGAGATGTCCCTGGTATGTACCCAGACTGTACCCGTCTTGTAGCCATGTTGGGGACATATGCCGTACCCGTGCTACATAGAATAGACACTACATGAAAATAAAACATGCAAATTAGTATAAATCTATCTATTTGTAGTATGAACTCTGTTTTCTTTGTATAATTATCAGGATTCTAGGACTTTTGTTATCCTGTCAAATAAAAGTTTCTCAATATTTTTATGTTCAACAAATAAAAGATTTGTAAGGAAGCTCACTAGTCAACTCTAACATTATCCAGTCCACTTACTCATTATTATTTTTTTGATAGAACACTTACTCATTATTAGTATGTAGTTGTTTGTCTTCGGTAGCCTTCTCAGACATCTATCTTGTGTAGAACTGGAATGTGGCGGCCTCTTTGGCATAAATGAATGGAACTTTCTGAAAATATATATGATAATATGACGAACAAATAAAAGATTTGTAAGCCAAAGAATCAACTATAACTTTAATGTGGCAGTGATTGGTTCTAGACCTGCTCTAATGAAGCTCATTAGTTAATGTCATGTTAAACTAGTTAGTATAGTCACTATGAATTGTTGTAAGTTGTTTGTCTTGAATAGCCTTCTCACTTATATAACTTTTGCAGAACTGGACTGTGCATGGACTCTACTGGGGTAGCTACAGAATACATCGACCAGCTGTGCTTGAGGATTCCATCCGGGAGTTGCTCTCCTGGATGCAAAAGGGCTTGATAACCATTCACGTTTCTCATACTTACAGCCTATCGGAGGTACCGAGCTCCTCCTACCAGTCTTCCCATTTCTCCACATTGTTCTTTTATCATGTGAAGCTCTTATTTATGAAGGAAAACTATAAGTGAAAGATATAGAGAAAGTATTTGAAAATTGATGTCTCAAACCTCAAATTTCTTTAACACAAGCAGAGTGGCTCTGCTGAAAGCCAGGTTAGACCATGCTTGGAATTGCAGCAAGACCAAATCCTATCTCTCTCATTAGATTTGCAAGTTTTCCCATCTGCATTCCTCGTTTTGGAACTGGTGAATTATGTTGTGTCCAGTCCTAATTTCCCAGGACTATCATAAATCTTAAGACCTGACACAGATAATAGGCAAATTGATGATGCTTGGTGAGATTTGACATGCACAATTTACTTTTGGTGCATTCTTCTTTATAGGACTCACCAAAAGGATGAAGTTTGTGTTTGTTATCGATCCATTTCTATATTACTCATGATGTTATTGCCTTTCGGAGGGAAAAGGCCAGTTCCATTTCAGGATGGAAGTCTATAGTCTGTCGATTGTCATATCATACATGATCCTGTGATAGTCACTGATGAGAAATTATTGATTTCTTAGATTGGTTTTATATTTTCCTTCCCATGTAGGAGATAATGTTAAAAAAATCTACTGTTGCAGCCTTGTAGGTGTAGTTTCGTGTAGCCTTGTGTAGTTTCTACTTCTTACTTTTGGTCATTTCAGCTTATTTGATTCTATGTATGTCTTTGACAGGCCAACCTTGCATTCTCGGCAATTAAAGATAGAAAAGCAATTGGGAAAGTGATGATTGCATTTGATGATAAGGGAAGGTCTAAGCTTTAAGTGATTCCGATTTACCTTTTGCTTGAATTGAAACTAGATTTGTCTCTGATGCCTGTTGGCACTTTGTTTACTTTCAGTTCTGTACTTGCGTAATTAGTATTTGTTATAGACTAGTATACAACAGATTAACTCTCTGGAGTTGTTTATACTTTGTAGAGAAATGAAATTACCTATAAACAAAGTGATTAATTCTAAGAGAATGAGCAACCTAGAGTGAACCGTATGTATCGCACACGTTTACCAGATTCAGACTACCAAATAGTACCAATTGTTTGAATTTGTTAGCCTATAAATACATCATTTGCCAAAAGGAAAAGACCACGTTTCAATGTTATTGTTGATGATAAGGTGTAAGATATTAAAGGGCTACTGCTTCAATCCTCGGTGTGCAAAAATATGCTCCAAATCTTGGACATTATATAGTAAGAACTAAGAAGCATGCATTATTTCATGAAAGAATTTAGCATATGTGCATGTGAAAGATATAGGGTTCATTTATACAATATCAGAAGCATCTGTCCAGATTCAGTTCTACCTAGGCCGGCTATCAGTTTTCAAAAACTTGACATATTCCTGCCGCGACATCTCTCCACCATTAACAGGATCAAAACTGCACCTGTAGAAACTGACAATAAGAAAAGGTATAAGACAGTGGAATTCTCAAAATTGTACCAAAATAAGAAGGCAGAGTGGGGTAGGAGGAGATAATCTTCTGATGGTGAAGTTCAGATCGTTTCTCAGAAAAACACAAATACCCACGTTTGTACAAGTACTTGTATGTTCTACAGTTTGGTATATTTCTTAAGTTCAGTACCCAAGCTAAGAATGAAATATACAGCATATTCACAACTTGACAAGAAATTGGATGTCATACAACATAAAAGAAGTAAAATGCTTCAATAAAGCAGTACACAGATGAAGTTGACAAGAAACGGGGAAAATAAGCCCCCTTGAAATGGATTGTTACACGTCTTCTGATTATCAGAACAGAGAAGAAGCAGAATTGTTTGATGAGAGAACTAATACTTAGGAATGCAATTATGTAAATATATAGTTTTGAATAAGGTATAAAAAAGATATAATAAGAGGTGGGTAAACATATCCAAGGCATTTCTGCACCTTAAAACAATTAAATAAACCAACTAAAACTTTTTATTTCATCAATGCATAATTCCTCTTCAATGACAAAATAACATTAGAATGGTATTCAAGAGAACAAGGAGAAGCAAATACCTCCCATTCATGCCAACAATAATAACAGTGTTTTCAGATCCAAATGCTGCAATGAATTGGTGGGTATCTACAAGTAAGCGAAACTGGGCAAATGACCATTCTGAGCTAAATTATTTTGGTAAAACCCCTGAAAAATGTCAGAATGTTGATATGTTTAGAGAAGCAAATACTCAGCTTTTAAATAATGTAACACCAACCAACTCATTCTCAGTTTCTCACCCATCATCATCAGTATACATCAGATTTATAAATTTTCCATACCTACTGATTCGTTGACTTAATTGCTTATAACATAAAAAATTGACTTTTATGACCATTCTGAGCTAAATTATTTTGGTAAAACCCCTGAAAAATGTCAGAATGTTGATATGTTTAGAGAAGCAAATACTCAGCTTTTAAATAATGTAACACCAACCAACTCATTCTCAGTTTCTCACCCATCATCATCAGTATACATCAGATTTATAAAATTTTCCATACCTACTGATTCGTTGACTTAAATTGCTTATAACATAAAAAATTGACTTTTATTGGAAATTTCATGAGATGAGTTACCATGCAGTTCTGTTTTGACAAAGTAAAAAAAAACTGTACATAAACTACAAACTACAAAGGCTTACTATATTTATTACCTCCCATAAAAGACAACGATGAACCAGGATTGGCACCAGTGCTTGGAGAGATAAGTGCATCAAGTGAAGTTGAAGAATTTTGATGAAATAATGACGGACCTTGGACAGAAGGTTGTCGAGAAGAAGAATCCTCCCCAAAAATTCTAACTCGTAGGTGAAATATATGAATAGTGCCCTTATTACTCTACACAGCCAACCATTGGGCATTTGGTGAGAGGGCAAGGCTATAGATATCTGCTCTGTCCAATCCTCTTCGCACCTACATGGACTAACTTTGAGTGCCTAAATTGCTGAGAAAGTGGAGATGAGAATAATGTTGAAGAGTCCAGCATGCTAATTGCTGATATAAGAGGCATGACACCTCCAATCAACACTTGAGATCACTACTCCACTGGTTTGGCAGGCCAAGTTTAGGGGAAAAGCTAGTAATTTTTTCCATTGAATCAACATTACTAAACATATAAAGATGAAAGCATATAATTATTGATCAACTTCCCCTCAAATATAACAAGTTTAAGTTCAGAATAAAATTAAACCATACTCCAGCAGTGTACCTCTTGTAAGCAAGTTCCATCCATTGTGTCAAATATTCTGATCAAGGTGCCTTTGGTACTAGCAGTTACAAGAAGTAGACCATCAAATGTCAAGGTCAAGCAGGCAATATCAGAATCATGAGCATTAATTAGTTTCACCACATTGAGGCCAAAGTGTTCAACTCGAACTTGTCCTCGGTAAAGACCGGGACAAGCCAATACAGACGTATTAGAATGGTAAGAAAGGCAACAGAGCCCCCTAGGATTGGCCAAAGTCACAATTTGATGAAGAAGCTCCAGAGTCAAAAAACTGTGGACATATATCTTGTGCTCCAGAACCACAACAATGCGATCTCGCCTTAATTTGACAGCTCGAACCTCATACCTAAATCCAAATTCACCAATGCAGCGACTTTGAGAATCATCCCTGATTATAACTTTGGTTGGAGGGTAGTGGGAATTGGAGTCTCCACCAACAAGTGCCAAAATGTTGCAACGGAAGAGCATTTCAACAATTTTGAAACTCCCAGTTTTGAGATTGCGGTTGAAGGTTTCCTTAAAGGGTTGGCAATTGTAAATACGGAACCTTGGGATGTGCCAGCAGCAAAGCAACCATAATCCTGGTTCCAGAATAGAGAGAGTAACTCCACTTGATCAATATCAGGGGCATCCTGGGACTGCATAGAGGATGACGGATCATCGGAAACGGGGGATTGAGTAGGTTCGATGGAAGACCTTGAAAGAAGAGGTGGAGAGTGGGGTTGAAGTCATGTGTAAGTGGAAGACAATGATTAAAAAAGGTCGCCTCCACCAATTCAAGAATTGGTTATAGTAGTTTAGCAGCAGACACAAAGAGAGCAAGATTCTAAAAGAAATCTTGCAAAATAAAAATGCCACCAATAACCATGCACGTCGGCGTGATCGAATGCCGAAGAATATAGCTAGCTGTAAAACAATAATCAAGAATGCAGAAATTTAGAAACTATTTTTTACAATTCTTTTGTCAAGCAATTATCCAAGCCCTAATGATCGTATAGTAATCGGTATTAGTAAAGCTGCATTAATCCAAACAACGGAGCAGTCCGTACGAGATACATTATGATGGAGATACAGTAATCAAGGAAAACCAAGAACTTCAATTCCAATTCTGATTGCAAAACTGAGCAACAAGAATCCAACAAGATTGATGATACATACAAAAAAAGGGAATTGAAATTGAATGCAAAATTGAGCAACAAGAGGTGAAGAAAAGATTGACAAGAGAATTGAGAAACGGACCAATGAGAAAGGAAGAAAGCGAGAATGAAATCTGCAACAGAGCCAGAATCAATGCTTGGCTTATAGATCATATCTGAGGCCACAATCAACAGGCAGTTATGCATTCGCCTTGCTCTGCCTTCTCTTCCCTATCCGGCCTTCATTTTCTTTCTGGTTAATATAGTATTATATTGAGAAAACAAGAAAATAATATTGTAAACGTCGCTTTTTTTCTTCATAATAACAAAATTACCCAACCTTTGCACAAAGTCACTTTATTCCTTATTTTTTTAGAACATTTTATTCTTCAATGTTTTATTTGAGAGTGAAATGTCTCATAATTAGATAAAAATAGCTAGTTGACTAATGGTCAATACTTTCTATTGACATGATAGATTCACGTGTGATGTTACGTCATCAAAAAATTACTTTTAAATTATTTTTATAAGCGTATATGTAATCAATTACCATTATAGTTTACTTTAAAAGTATTTTTTACTAGTGTGACATCGCACATAAACTTATCACGTCTACATGAAATATTAACCATTAGTCAATTAATAATATACATCCAATCAGATGATATTTTGCTTTAAAATAAAACGTTGAAGATTAAAATATTCCATAAAAAATATAAGGGCCAAGTAATGTGCAACTCAAAGCCCATATTTTGATTTTTCTTATCTTCTCTGTTAATAAACGAAAAGAAAAAACATAAATAATAATAAAATAATTAAATTAGTTTGTACTTATAATATGAGTGGAAGATGATATTTATATATGAAATATATATAAAAATTTATTTTATGAATAATTACGTATAAACTATAAAATATTTAGGGTAAACTACATCAGATACCATCGAACTTTAGGTATTGTATTGTTTATATCACTGAACTTTCAATTTTACCAATTATAGAAATGAATTTTGATTTTCGTTTCGATTATACCATTGAGCCGTAAATCGTTAAAATCATACATAATGTTACGTTTTGGTTCCGTTCTGGTCACTCGTTGTTAAAAGTACACAGAACTACTGACATAGTAAATTTTTATTTTTCTCAATGATAACATGACAATACCTTATGATGACACGTCAATTTCACTGTTAATTTTTTAACGATGGTTAACCAAATCGCAATGTTAGATAACTAAATACATTGTTTACTCAAAATAATAAAATAATAATTTAATATGACATTTTAACAAAGAGGAAATACATATCAAGTTTAGTCCATAAACTGTAATTAAAACATCAATTTTGATTTTTTTACAATCCTTTGAGCCATAATTCGTCTTTTTATAAAAAAATATATTAAAATAAACATTTATCTTAACTAATATTTTGTAGGCTTTCTTTTTCATAGTCTACACTTTTCTTGCCAGTGGAACAATATCTGTTCAAAGATAACTC